TAGATTCTACCCTGGAAAACTTTTATCTCCAAATCTTCATTAAGGAGAATAAAAATAAGTGAGCTTTCAAACAGTCTATACCATTTCTCTATTTTATAGTTCACTGCAATTTCTTTTAATTACCTTGCAATTTAAATCTGTTGAATCCTAGAGCTGGTTCCCCTTGAAAAATGTCTTCTTGCAAACTTTGATTAGCTCCAGAGAAAAGAGAGCAGATGACTTTAAATGGCACAGAGGTGGATTTATTGGCAAGTGTGTCAGGTTTGCACTTAGCAAGGAATTGGCAGATAGCAGAATATGGCTGGACAAGATTCAAACTCCAAGGACTTGGAGCTGGAAAAGGATTTATTTGAATAGCAGAGTACAGGAGTGTATTTGCTACAGTTAAAATTATTAAAAGCTTTTAACTAAAAACATGAAGAAATTAAACTTCCAATGAAAGGCAAGCAATTGCATTGCTTCAAAGGTATTGTCACGGGGTTATTTATTGCTTTCCTCCCTCACTGTGTCACTTGCTGCTCCTTGCAATAGGAAGGTATATTGATCTCCTTGATCAGGTGTAGGTTCAAAAGCCAGATTAAACCTGAACCTGTGCAAAATTACTGAGCATTCAGGAAATAAAATGCTTTATTTTTGTCTTAAATGAACTGTAGAAAAAAAGTAGTCTATTCACTACATGTGAAAAGTAGAGAGCCTGCAGTCCCAGAAAAAGCAGACTCAAAAGAGCGTGAGCTGCTTCACATGGACAGACAAGAGGCTTGGCCACAGTCTGAAGCAACAAAACCAGAGGGTTGTGCTGAAAGAAGTTCACACTACTGAAGGACTGCCAGCTGAGACTAGAACTTTATTTGGGGTTGTGAGGATTTTTTTTGTCTCAAATGTCATGTTTTCTTCAAAAAAGTAAAAAAATTGATTGCGACAGTGCTTGAAGTGTCAGCTGACACAGGGAAGCCTTGTCTGCACTCGTGACCCTCACACTGGCAATGGACCAGTGGGAACTGCAACAGAAGTGGCTTCCAAAAAGCAAAAACCACTGCTCTGCTCCTGGGCTGGTGCTAAGCCCTGCTTTGGGCAGGAGGCTGGCCCCTGGCATCCCTTACAACCTGTTCTCCTGAAAGAAGAGAGGAGGGGAGAGAAGAGAGAGAGGACTCAGTCACAGTGTCTCTGAACTGCTGCTTTATGCCATCATATCTGTGTGAGACACTTTTATGGAACTTCTCTGATTCCATTATTCAATTCTAACCAGGTGACAGGACATTCTAGTCTTTTACAATGACACATAAATACCTCAAATCACATTCAGCACCTGCTTTTTCTTACAGCAACACTTCACTTTTTTTACCCTACTACTTACCAGTGTTGCATCTGCAGGAAACTCAGTGAACCATTTTCCTACTTTTTTAAGCACAAATGCAGTTTTTTATTTCATTTTTATGGACTAAAGCTAAAAGATGCTTTCCTCAGAAAGCTGAATGACCACATTTCACATCTGGCAGCAGCTGGTCTCAGCAGCCAGCGTGTGGCTCACCTAACTACCAGCCTGTAACTGAGACACCAAAAGAAGACATTGGCAAAAGAATCTATGCCATTTGGAAAAGCTCACACCTAAGGAAGCCGAGGGTGCTCCAGACTGAGGTACCTCACGTGGAAGCAGAATCTGGAATGATGTAACAAAGGGGTGGAAGGAGAAGTTTAAGGCTCCATGACACCAAAGGCCAGTCATACTGAAGCTTGAACTTATATTCAAAACATTGTTCCAACCTCCATCATCACTACTTCCCTCACACATTTTTTTCCCTTTCCTCCATTGAAATCTGCTCTAAGGCCCCTAGACAGTGCTTGAGTATCTTCATGGCTTGGACCACATTCTAGACTGGCACACAAATATTTAGCAGAAAAATTCAAGCCAAAGAGAAGGCATGAGCATCTTTAAATTCTTATTTCCCTTGGCCAATCTAAGTAACTCTAGATAAGAACAAACTTTGTACCCAGCAGTAGATCTGTTATCTATAAACACCACCTACAGCAGCATAAGTGTGCAGAGCAAGCCTCATATGGAACACTTCGCTCATGTATCTCTTTCCAATAGAATTTGCTTCTTCCTGAATTCATCAGTTATTCTAGATTAAAATGAGAGGCTTCTGCAAAGTAACTTCAGAATGATGTTTCTGGTTTGTCAGCAGCAGAAATCACAATTTATCCCATCATTTCTAATGCTTACACAGAAAAGTCAATAAAGTTTAAAAAAAAAAAATAAAAGGGAGAAAGTTTCCTTTGTACTCGACAGCACCAGCAGTATCATATTTTACACCACCTCTGGTACTACTATGTCAAAAAAACTGCCTAACAAAGCACAAGCAAAGAAGCATGTTATTGTCATTTTTCAGGATTTCTTGAAGCTTTGTCAATAAGGTATTAGAAATTCATCCAAGTCTGAAAACCAAGTTATTTTTACACTCAAATTTCTAGTTTCTATTTGGGAGCTACAGAACAGTCAGCCTCATGAAGTCATACACTGAACCCCAAACCTTGCATGTTTCCCCACACTGTGCATACATACATACATACATACATACATACATATATATATATATATATATATATATATCTGTAATGACACCAAGACTGTTTTCTGTTTTGAGTCCATGGAACCTGTCCACTTGTCAAGAAAAAAGGATACACATTTTTTACTGAAACTTGCTTGCAGACTCAGGTCCTCTTCAGTATTCCTCACCAAGAAAAATTATGGCAATTTAATAAAAAAGTGGAGAAAATCCTGCAATGTGACAGATCAGCTATAAAAGTGCACAGTGAAATGAGGACAACGTTTAAGCCAGAATTTTCTGTGTCATACTCAGCATGCAGAGATTTTCATTTTTTAGAGCTCTATGGAATTTGACAAGTAAACCTACTATAGTTAATAGCATTTTAATCTTTATGCATAACAATCACAAACCTACATTGCACAGGTTTGATAATAGTAACTGACAGCTGAATTTGAAGTATATACTTCGTTCCAAAATAGATGCACGTGTAGGTGGATGTGTTGTAGAAATACAATGTACTACACAGCTGAGCCTAGATAAGCTGGTGATCCTCAAACATCAGCATCATCTGTACAAAGGGCAGAATCTGCTCCCTTAAATACCTGTTCATCCTTCTTATGACACTTTCTTTAAAGAGTTCAGTGAATAGTAGATAAAATAAGTATCTAATGAGGTATGACAGAAACTCTGATTGAGCTAAAAAGCAGCAAGCCGAATTCTAATAAATATATGAAGCACAACATTTAGTGCCAGCAACCATGTCAAGTTAGACATAGGAAACTGTAGCTCTGCAGCTGGAGCAGGGCAATACTCTGCAAGCCAGAAAAGTGATGGAACTCCTCCAGCTTTGATTATTTATGGTGTGATGATGAAGGAACAATTTTCCATGTGAGGAACAGCTTTAAAGTTGAACAGTGAAGCTGAAAGAGAGACTTAATGAAGTATCAGAGGGGAACAAAACTACAGCTACAAAAACAATAACATTCGGTTTAACAATTTAAAAACAGAATTTGTGTGCAAAACCAGATGTTAACTTGTCCAGCTTCAAGGTAAACAGCAAACTGTATTTATAACAACCCTTCTGCTGGACAGCAAACAAGCACTACTAAATGTTGCAGTATATAAGGCTCACTTCGGACCTCCAAATCTTATCAAAATGAACACAAATGCCAAACAAACACATTTTAAACCAAGGACACATCTGTATTTAATGCAAAGCTATTTTCAAAAAATCCCAACCTTTCATAATCTACCATTAATTGTAATAGCCTGAAACATAAGAACGCTTTCAGGCTCAGAAAAAAAAAAAGGCTTCTAATTTTAAACATTTATGAGTACACTGAGAAGTGGCTTAGAACTATGCTTTAAAACTTGTTTTCAGGCTTTAAACTGCTGAAAGCTGAGACCCCTTTACCCATTTAGCCTGGAGAAAGGGAGAGAAGTACAAAAATATGATGAAAAGACTGCACATGAAAATTTCTGTTACAGAAAATGCAACTGACTCCCTCATTCCAGCCCCTACCCCCCCCATCCCCACTGCACCTCCCCCTTCAGGGAAAGTGCTCCTCTTGCCTGATGACCACCCCCAAACAACTCATCTACATCACTGACTTTGAGGCACCACACTGAGGTTTTTAACAAATACCTTTTGAAAATAATTTTAAAGGGCCACTCTGCCATTGCTGGTGCTGTTCCTGAACAGGAGGGACTCTGTCTCAGCTCTGAATTTATGTCAGCTCATTTTAAACTATACCTTGGGATGGGTGATTTAATATTCATTCTAAAAAATATCATGATCAAACCTTTTAAATGTTTTTTCCCAACTCGTAAAATGCATGCTTTATGCTGGGAATGAACTTCCCTTTGACACAGAGTAACTATGGGAAGGAGGGATTGTTCTCACATTTCTGTTTCATGGAAAACACCCTGCTGGTTGATTTTTAAAGTTAAAGGATTAAGTTGCAGGGGTAAAAAATGCTGCTAAATGCAACACACTCTACTAAGTTAAAAACAGCCTCGGTTTGATATGAAACACTGACTTAAAAAATAGCAATTCCTGTCCAAATACGCCAGTGAAAATAAATAATGAATATATTGTAGGTATTAAAAGATGAACGTGTCAAGAATAAGAACAAGTACTACTTTTAAGGTAATTCAGCATAAAATAAACCCAATATTTGAAAGCAAAGAAACAGCCACAAATCTGAATTCATAGCAACAGATAGTAGCAAGGAAGTTTTGAAAATCCATGGGAATTCTTCAACCTTACCAGGCACCTGTACAGTTCTATTGGCATTTTCTTTTTGTCTTTTGTTACTCTTGATTCCCACCTTACAGTTCATCTTCAGGGCAAAGCAAAACAAGAAATTGCATTCAAAACTCTTAGGTCATCAAAATTGTGTTTACTGTTTAAAAATAAAAGACATACACAAAATATTGCAACAGCTTGAGGAATCCCACTCAGAAAGCCCAACATTTTTACATCTCTTCTCATGTTTTCACCACCATAATTTTTGAAGAACAGTTAGAGACAACACAGACCATTTTAGGAATGACTCTTTTATCACTGCAATCCCTCAATTACAGCTGACCACAAAAAGGAATAAATACAGTAGTACTGCAGGGACAGTTCTGGTATATTTTTCAGCTTGCCCTCTGACGTGCTCTGACTTCTGCTGGAGAGTGATGTGGTGATTTCTTAGACTTGCCTGCATTATTGTTCCTAAAATAATTCAGAGGAAAATAAGGCTTTAAGCAGTTTAATCACCAATTTCAAATTGGATTAAATGTTTCAATGACCTTTTCATCAAAACCAAGCTCTAGAACTCCACGCCCTTACAGCCTGACAGGACCTGCCCCCTTGAAAATCTACTGGGCTCCATCTTAATGGGTGGCAACTCATCTTCAACCCAAAAAGCTACAGGCAAATAAATACATGTAGATTTTTTACTTCTAAAATAAAAAGATCTTTGTTGTTAACAGGACAGAACTGAACACCTGCAAGCAATGAACATGTTTAAAGACAGTGAAATCAAGAAAACAAATATTAAAAGTTCTTAAATTATAGACTAAAAAGCTCCCAAGTGCTGGCTGCATGTATGCACATTTAAATGATCGAGAAAACTGCATGGAAATATGCATTTACCACAAAATCTGGAAGCTTAGTTGGGACCTGACTTCTAGTCAGGTGTGTGATTTCATTTAAGACTGAGATTACTTCATAGAAATTGAATTATTTCTGTGTGTACAGTATAATTTAACTCAAAAATACATTTCATTGAGGTTAACCATTAGTATTGACTATTTGCTGTTATGAAGTTCCTTAAGCATGAATTTTAAGTACAAGGATTGATAATCAGCTTCCATGTACCCACCTGCAATAGTATGGAACAAACACATTTCTAATCACCAAAATAAAGGTTAGTATGACTTTAAAAAAAATCCCCAACAAACCCAACTAACAAATTTGAAGCAATACATCTGTTGAGTTAGTTTAGCAAGACAGTGAAAAAAGAGTTTGGTAAGGTAGTTAATATTTTTCATTGCACTGTAGAGTTGAGCTTCAATATTCACCATTATCAGAAAGTTCAATAATTCTTTGTTTTGATACGAAAGTAAAAACTGTCCATAAAGTGGAAGGGTCTTCACAATTATGATGGCTCTGCCAATGATTAAAAAGATCCTCTTTTCTTCCAAATAACTGTTCGCATAAAATGCAGTTATAGCCTGCTTTAGACCAAAATTCTATTTTTTTCCTTGGTGTACCAAACCCCACATTTTTCATCTCCTTGGAGGCTTCACTATTTTCTGACTGAGTCAGTTCACTTTTAGGTAGAATATTGACATTATTGTGATGGTGCAAGGGTATCTGTCTATTTGGTTTTGGAACAGTATACAGCTCCTCCTGATGGGCACTGCACTTTGCTAAACGTCTTCTCTCATCGTGCTGTTTCCACACGTGGGTTGTATGTTTGACCAGTCCTCCCTTTGTTCCTCTGCTTCCTTGCAAAACCCCTTCCTTCACTCTTCCCTGAATCTCTTCTCCATGACAGCACAATAAGTGAAACTTCATTTCACCGAAAGACTCTGCAATAAACTGGCATCGACCACATTTGACCTGTAATTTCACTCCTCCCGGGTTATGGAATAGGTCCTCAAAATTGCAGTTATTTCCCCTGTTAAAAAAGGAAATACAAACTATTTAAGTATTAGGCAGGCAAAGAAGATGGATGGAGATCTCTGTCCTCACAAACTTCAAAAACAGATGACAGTCATGAAACACTTTTAATTAAAAACATTGTTTCTAATTCATTTGGAAGAGGGGAAAAAAAATGAAACAAGTAATAGTAAGGCTGATTAAGAAAAAACTGAAACCAAATGACACTTCTGAGTTTAAGAATTGCCTCCAAATTAACCTTTGCAGAAATAAGCTTTTAACACCACCAGCCTTTAATAGAAGGCTGATAACTTTTGTTAAAGTTCCTGATTCAGTGAGGTCAATCCAAATACTTTTAGTGCTGTGCTAGAAAAGTGAAAATTACTACCTGTAATATACAAGTAAGAGAAACCTACTTGTTTACAGTGAGTGATCTAGGTCAATTTGAGGCAAAACCATCTCCCTTTCCAACACGGAAATGATGAAATTTCAGTTTCTTGTTTTGTTTTTTTCCTACAAGTCAGGTAACATGGTTTAGAAAAGTTTAAATACCTAATGGGAAATTGGACAGCCCCTGTCCCTGATTTAGGACAGTTCTGCAATGTAAAGGATACACAGGCAGTCCATGGGTAAGACAATTGAAACAAGAGCCCCTCTGACATCTTCTCATAACATCTACTAGAAGGACCTCATAACACTGTGTATTTATGCATATTGGACAGATTACCCAACAAAAGAGATAAACTGAATGATTCACTGTATGACATCTACTAAGACTGACAGGAAAGTACTGGTGTTTCTTAGTCTCAAGACCGTAAAAGTTTCTAACTGGAGCTATGAAAAGTGAAAGGAGTAAAATGGGACAGCAGTGTTGCAGTGAGGAGTTACATTGAAGCCCCGAGTGTTCTTCAGTGAAAATAAATGCGCAGTGGAACAAAGAAAAAAGGCAACGTTTATACTGTATCAAGAGATTTCACCTCAGAATCATAATACAGACATAAAAGTATGCATGTTAACTTTTCTACTTGGCTGAGTGATCACAAAAGCAGCAGTAAACTCAGGACAGATTAGCTCACAGCATTCCCTAAAAGGAAGTGGGATAATGATATTTAACAGGGAAAACAAACTACAAGCTAACACTGAAATATGAATTGTTTTTCGCTTACTGCAATTGCAATTCCCTTATCTTCTAGGGAAAATCTCAAAGTGGGTAGGACAGAAGACAGAGCACTAACCACGAGAAACCAGCTGACCCAAATATGGCATTATATCAGGTGTTACTACAATATATGCAAACTTACTTTGGATATTGAATTGTCAATAATGATTTGTACTCAATAAATCAGCTAAAATATACTGGTTGGTCTAATGGATTGACTAGATTCAAATGGAACGCTCAAACAACTAGGAATCTCACTTGGAGGAAGAAAGCGACAATTTTCATAATAATGAGTTTTATAAACTTCCACTGACAACTTTAAATCCAGTTTTCATTAGCATTTAATTAGTGAAAACTCACCTCTCTGTAGCTTCTTCTGCCTCTTTTATATTCCTGTCTCTATTCTTTAAAGTATCTTGCACCTGTTGCTCACTAGTGGAGGGCTCTGTGCTGATAACAACCCTGTGGACTTCTCTGAGGTGGCCAAAGTACACTTTTGCATGGCCAAAAACTTTAGCACAGAATTCACAGCACACCAGCTTTTTGGGTTTGCCTTCATTGTGATGAAGCTTCATATGGGTGCTCAGTCTCCCAGAATAGATATATGCCTTCCTGCAGATCCTGCAGCTGTAGGGCCGCTTGCGTGTGTGAGTGTTCATGTGGTCCTGGAGATGGTGCTTGAACTGGAACGTATGGTTACAAACATGACATCTGTGCAGAGGCTTAGGGACAGCTGAACGTATATTTCTACTTAGATCACTTGATTTAGCTGATGTAGCATCACTGTGCCTGGAACTTAAACATTTATTGGCCAGTGAACCATTTAAAAACAAGTCTTGCTCATGAGACGGCATCTCTACGATGGCTGCAGGAGCCAGCGGTGCGAACGCCTGCACAACCACCACTGGTTTTGGTCTGATACTGCGGTATTTTTTCACTGCTTCTGCTTTATTGTCTTCAGGTGTCTGAATATCAATCTTTGCCCTTTCTCTTTCTTCTCTAAACTTATTAATGATGCATTTCCTTTGTTTGGCCTGAAAAGCCAATAAATCTTCTGGGGCTCTTTTTTTCCTGCCTCTTCTTTTAGAGGTTGCACTGTTCAATTTTTTAAGGCTGTCAACATCATCCACTTTGCTGGATGGAGAGGAGGTATTTTCCTGAATGGTTTGTTTGGTGACTTGTGTAAATGATACACCTAATTGATTATCAAAGGCTTTGGCTTTCATCAAAGATGGTATCTTTTCACATTCAGATTTTAGTGAATGACCAGGTATGCCCGTAACTTTAGTATTCTGCTTAGATCTACAGAACACTGAATTTTTCATTCTCGAGTAAGGCAAAATAGGAAGTTTTCCTTTTGGTGCTGAAGAAGTCATCTGAATTGTACTGCCAAAAACTGCTGGTGACAAGACAGCAAAAGGATCTGCAGAATTTGTGGGTTTTTCCTTTAGTTTATCAGATTTCAGGAGTGGCTCTCTTGTGGTTTCTGATGCTGTCTTCACAGAGTGTAGACTTAGTTTCATGGGATTAGTTGTACTTGCTGGCTTGGATAGAGAGTCTTCAACTACAGTTGGTCTGGAAACATTATTGCTTTCAATTTCAGTTTTCTTCATTAAAAGAGATCTAGACTCCACATGATTGTTTTTATTTACTAATGTGGCAACTCCAATTTCAGCTGAGTCACAGTCTGTTATCACCCCTTGCTCAGCTGAATCTGAGCTAGACTGAGCTTCAGGACAGTCTTCAGGCAGAGCAGTCATGAGGGAAGTCTGTGACGAGATCAGCGTTTTGGTAGGAATCTTGTTACATGCATTCCACACAAAACCAGAGATTTGTGCTGGTTTTTTGTCACTCAGCAATTTATTTCTTACAGATTGGTACCTGGGGATGGGCAGCTTTAGGTTTTCAGAGGGGGCCACAGTCGACTGCTGAACTTGCTGTGTTAGAGCAGGTGCAACACACGGCACAGCCAACAGGGAAAATGTGCCCTTGTGAGCAGCCACCTGCATGACAGCATAGTTCTGAGCTGGCACCACCAGGGGCTTAGAACCTGAAGCTGAAATTGGTGTCACTGGCTCAGGCAAAGATGACTGATGGCAAGAAACAACTCCAGATGTTAAAATTTTTGGTACCATTTTTGGAGCAATGGTCCTAAACTGACTTTTCTTCTGAAAACTTTGTATTAGATCCGTAGAGGATTTCTGTTTGTCTGTAAGAATAATGTAGCAAAGATGTAATAAGATACATAACATAGTATTTTTTTAAAATTACTCTCTCAAAAATAAAACTGCTTACAAAGGATACTATTGCACACAAGCTTATTAAAATATTTAGGCATTTAAATATCACCAAATTAAATCTGGAACTGCAAAAGTTTCATAGGCAAAAGCACTGTCTGAAGTAACACCTTTGAACACAGATTTGCAAAAAAATCTCCTCTTAATCAAATCTTAATTGGATGTTTAATTCTGGGTTAGAAACTACATGACATTTCAGAAAAAATACACCCATAAGCTGCTTCAGCCCTGGAAAAGCTGCAAGAGCATGCTGGGAATATTCTACTGGAAAAATAGGGACAGGATTTAAGTTGCATGACAGAGCACCAGCTCTGATCATGTATCTCAAACAGAATCATGCCATCTTGCAGACATTCTCCACTATTTAGAATTTGTGGGTTTTATCAGATACAGACCAAAGTCTGCCTGATGAAGTCTTAGAAAAATTACTGCTAGAAAACATGCAAATAATGTATAATAAAATCAGAAGTGCACTTGAAAAAATACGTGAATATGAACTACCATTAAATACCCAATCACAAAAATTACTCATGTGCCACTACCACAAAACAGAACTACAGTAGTAATTTAAACATTTTCTTGAAAGATGTAATTTATCAAGGTTATACAACAATTTCTTCCTATTTCTATTTGTTTTCATAAAAGTAGCAAATGTTTCTAGTAAAGAAGAATGTGATGATAATTAAAATAAACAAAAGGAAAACTATAAAATTCATACAATACAATATGCATTAGGCAGCAAAGATACCTGCTGACCTTTTAGACTCCACAGAAAAGGAGTTGATACATAGTTAATTGTACCACTACCATTTCATCTATCAGTCTCATTACCCACTCCCAAATTCAATTACTGATGCTTCTAGCTCTCAAAACCTGGAATAGGTTTCCTGGAAAAATGGAAATTGTAACCATTGAAAACGCAGCTACAAAGATCCCAGGCAGAAAGGCAATTTGGACACAAACAAAAATCATTTGAGAGAGGAATCACCTTTGAAAAGAACACATTAAAGTAAATGCTGCAAACTTGAAATATTGTAGTAAGATAATTCCATTGGAAAGTTTCCATACCTTGCCATTTTAAACAATTTCATTGCAAATGCATTTATAGGTGATTCTGGACTTAAAAAGGTAACTGTGAATTAGTACCAACACAAACTCCAAGTAAATTTATCTTAATTCTGGATGTTCTTCTCAGTCATGACACACTTTGCAACAAGTCCTGCAAGCTACAGACCTATCATGTTTCACAACCAGAAATCCCGGACAGATATATATGCGTATCCATGGCATGCACATGTGCAGTAAAGCCACTGCTTTCAGGATATGCTGGATTCACTGAGCAATCACATATAAACTGTACAGTTCATATTTAGTGTATCTGATGCTTTTCACAACTTTTGATCAGCAGATCCATAGAGCAATAACTATACAGGGCATAAGGCTTTGATCCTTTTATTGCCATCTATTGCATCAAACCCCCAGTCCATTATGCACTTTCTTTATACTCCAGTTAAGTGAAACTACTGGGCACCACCATAACTTTCTTTCTGCTCAATGTCTGTTGAGATGTTCTGGATTCCTAGACATTCTGTGCAGACTGGGTTACTGTCCATCTGGAAGTGCTACACAAATACTGAGATCCTTGCACACAGGGATAAGTCCAGGTTTGTGTAACTTAGAAAAATCAGAAACGTGATATGTTTAAAATTTTTTCCCTTCTGCACCTTTTTGTCTCAATTTTTAATTTTTTTCTTAAAAATCTAGTCACTAAATACATAGAAATCTTTAAATTTTCAGCTGCTAAGATTTGTTAGTCAGATGATGATTTGTATCGTACAAGGTATCTTCCTGTTGCTTTTGAGTAAATAAGTTTTAATCACTAACCAAACTAGCCCTGAACTTCAATGGTAGTTACAGGTCAAACCATATAGCTTAAATACAGCAGATAACAGAATAAGGGTACTTTCCTTTAAGGGGGCAGAATCAACTCTTATTTCTCCCGATTATGCTTGTCCTACACTGACAGTAAAGACTTTCTCCAAATCATCAGCTTGCCACAGTATTTAAAATGAAGCTGTTTCCATTCTCTCACTTCTCTTGTTCCTCTCCCTTTTTATTTCAAAACTTCATTCATTGACTTGCATAAAACTTTTAGGAAAGCCAGCATTTCAGCAGACTGCTACCTGTGCTACTCCAAGTTATAAGGCACCCACTCTTCAACCAATGGTAACAGGAAAAGGTGGAAGTTTTGCTGTGGACATGCCACTTCTACAAATGGCAGCCATAAAAACAAGGTTGAATTGAAGTTAGGATTAAATATTTGTAGAAGTTATGTATGGCATTAGCTTTAAAAAGAACCATAGGTTTCTCAAATACATTGACTTGCCTAATGCAAAATTAAGCAGTCAAACCACTTTTCTATAAAGAAAGTATCTCCACATACTTTCTCAGCATTCCACAGGAGAGTATTGCTCTAAAAGAGAAGACCTTCATCAATATCAAACACAAGATGCCATTTGAAACAAGGTCTGTTTAGATCAATACCCTTCTTCCACAGGTAATACAGTACTAAGAATTGATATAACTGTTTGAGAAGGGATTTTTATACAAACACTTTTTCCAACTAGCCATTACGTTTTCCAGGCGAGCTATGTTTGGTACCAACCTTCAATGTAACTTTTTTTTTTCCTTTTTCAGAAGTTTACATTAGACATTTTTGCGCACAAATATTCATTGCAGTGTTTCTCGTAAGCCAAGGAATACTCGACTCTGCATTTCCCTCCCTTCCAATACAGGTACTGTAGTTAAGCTGCTTAGCCAGTGACTATAGAGAAGGGGTAGATGCAAATTAGCTACCTAATGATGTTTCAGGCTCCATTACCATTTTTCCTGTAGACTAGAAAAACTAATTGGAAGAACTGGTGGAAGACTACTTAGCATCTTGAATCAGGAGAAAGCAGCCAGTCAATTCACAGGAGGTTCTACTGATCCCACTCAGAGCATGCAAGTATCATCAATGACCAAAATTCAGTTTTTCATTTATAGTTAGGTGGAAAATTTCAATAACTTCCTTTGCACCCAGACAGAGCTATAATAATTCAAGTCTTCACCACACTGAAGGACTTGGATATGCTCTGGCTATCTGGCTTGTGCAAAGGCAGCTTGGAAACCTCATATTCATCTCCCAGGTGCATTCCATGTCTTCCAAATTATTTCTGTCTCTGATTCAAAGGACTCATTTTGACTTGTCATCTGTGACCTGAGGAAAAGTTTTTGTGCCTATGCAATCCCATGAAGTCTTTCACCTAAGAAGGGGAAGTTTCAGTTAAGGGAGGCTCTGCAAGGGCATTTGTGGCATCCATGGAGGATGGCCCTTTGTTTTAGACAACATTCTTTCTACAAGTCTGCAGATCCTTCACTGGAAGGCAACGATTTTTATACTTTCTTTAAAATTCTCATCAATAACTAAGGAAATAAATGAAAATATTAGATTTAATATCTTAAAGATGTGAAGCTCATTTTTAACTTTTCTGTCCTCAGTCTTTCAGATGAGTGTAGAGGTGGGGCAACAGGTAGACAAATAATTACACACAAGAGTAAACCAAATGCAGTTCAACCTATTTACTTTAAAAGTCTCTGTTAAAAAGATTAATGGTTACCATGCTAGGACATGCAAGTATCAAATCCCTCAGATACTTGCAGGATGTCATAAGCTTTCATCCCTTCTAAATAACCTTAAAATTGCATAGAAGTGGACAGTGACACACCAACACAAAAATCAATAATGCATTAAATTCTCTGATTGAGTCATGCTGGGAAGAGTCCTCTGGAGGAAACTTTGGAGGAGTTTCCATGGGTTGCTGCTTCTTCATGGTTCCCCTGCCTTCCCAAGTCATCCAAGTCTGGTCTACTCCAGCCTAATCTGCCTTATTTTTGTACTTCCTTTAGTTTGTTCCCTATGTAAAACACACATAGCTGAACTGAGATGCTGTAGAAAGTATCAGGAGACATTTAATTTTCAGTACTATCTGGTCTATTTTGAAAATAACCACTAAATTGCCACCACAGAAACCACTGAGTAATAGTGCTCATTTTTACAATAATCTTGTAGGTCCACCTCAGTTGTGCACATAAGTATTTCATTTGTGTATGAACTTACATACGAGAGAACACACCAGAAAAAAGAATCATCTTGTTTTGAGGGAAAAGACAGAACACAGATGAAGATTAATGAATATTCAATGCCTATTAACACTGCTGAATCTTTTGCTAACTTTGAAAGGAAGAGTATCTATTCTGTGGGAAAGAAAAAAAATGTACAACGGTCTAACACACAAAATTAGATCTCTTTCTGCCAATGACAGTTAATAATTCATTTTGCCAAATCTCCATACACACTAAATACCTGTGGATACTGTCTTTGCAGCACAAGTTTCTTGCTTTTGCTGACCCAGCATACTTTGTTGGACACAATGTTTCTCTGCAGGATTAGCATGCAAAAAAACACCACCTGCAAAAGTGCTTCAGTTATAAATAGATTCCAGGACAAAAAAAAAATAAAACAACCAAACCCCCCAAACCAACAAAACCCAGAAAAAGACAATATAAAACATTAACTTCCAGTTAATGCATTAAGAAAACTACTGCTTTTTGCTCTTTGCCATTTTTCTTTCCTCAAAATACACTTTAAAATCTAATATATTACATGCCAAATGCAAGGTGATAGCTTAATAATTGAGTAAAGCTGGTTAATGTGGCAAACAGATGGGATGGTTTAGCTTCAGTGTCATGGCAGACAGTCAACAGCAGCAAAACAAAATGCTTCAAAAAATGAAGATTCAGTAGCATTATTGAGTAGTTTTAACACAGGGACTAAATTCTATACTCATTTACATTTTCCATAATTTGGTGTAAATAAACTGCAGATATTATAGAAAACAGAATTTTGACTTCTTTATTAAAAACCAATTTTGTTACACACCTATACAAGCTAAGATTCATAATAAAGCCTACAAATCATGAGTGCCCAGCTCTATATGTTACAGCAATTAATCTGCAGTTGTTTCTACCTTTGCTAATAATAACTACATGGGCGGAATGTTCTGCTCTGGGTATTTGCATCAGATAATTTTCTAAAATTAATTTCAACAGAAAATACCAGCCATCTTCAGTATGTCTGCATTAAAAAACAAACAAAAAGACCACCCAAACAAGCAACAACAACAAAACAAAACACCCCACAAGTCAATTTAGTGACACATCTGTTCATCAGGTGGAGAACTTCATATGTGACACAGCAAAGTCTCTTTAATCTGTGAAAAGCTGCCCAAATTAGGCAAAGCTATAGACTCTGGGCATGTGCTCAGTAGATTCTTCAAGCAGCTAACTTTTCCAATGATTACATTCTACTGAATGTGCTCCTGCTTCAGGCTGGGCCGGATTTTCCCTGAACTATGGCTTTAGGTCCAAGTACCCCAAGCTGGAACAAGGAAATGGGCTCTCCTTATCTCTGAGCTGCAGAGCTGGCAGTGTGGAAGAGAAACAGGAGAATACACAGGGCAAGCAGAAAAAGGACAAGCCTAGAAATGAGATTTGAAAAGTGTCCAGGCCAAAGAGTCAGGGTGGGATATGGGAATTAAATGAAGACTTAAGACAGGTAATAAACATTACATGTGATGTGGAAAGGAGAAGCATTTAAGCCAAAAGAGGAATCTCACATTTCTTACGTTTTTAGTACTTGATTTTTAAATAGTATTATGACTATGTTTACATAAGACTGCTTTCGTGCAATTTAAACTAGGCTTACAAAAATAAACAATATAACAAAGTAGTTTAAGGCAAGATTGGAAAATCTCCATAGATCATTCATACAAACACTAAGATACAGAATGTGCAAATACATTTAGAAAATTTATTCTGGTAGTCCACAGGAGGAACAAGACCAAAATAATTTGTTAAAATTCTAGAAGCTTTAAGCTTATATATAATTATATAATTAAATCTTATTTGAGCATAAATGTGATTTGCTAGTTGTGCAATAAGCATTTTATAATTTAGGCTTCTAAATTATAAAGGCCTTCTGTACAGTCTGTGCAAGTTTATTATTTTAAGGGATTAGGATTATAGGGCATTTCAAGAAATTCTGTGAGCAGTGGGATGCTTTCTGGATTCCTTAAATGGTCTCCAAGAGATTCTTCTTAGCAGAAGAGCACATTGAAATAACAAAGGTACACTTTTTTTTATTATTAATTGGACTTCATTAAAGAGGATGTTCAACATTAAAATTTCTAGTGGCATTTTTCAGTGTGGGAATAAGTTAAAACTATTTTTAGCATAAACTGTCACCTTGCAGAGGTAAATCACACAGTAATCCAAGATCATGGGTATATAGTTTGCATTTAAGAAGTTCTCCGGATTCCTCTCTAATTCAGTCCTTTGGTTTTGCCTGAAATGTCCTTTCTGCACTACTAAACAACATTTATACAGATCTAACAAAACTTAAGAAAAAATAAAATTAGATTATTCAACTTTCTCAGCTTCCAGAATTGCTTTCCTCAGTTGTTTGAAAGTGTACACAGGAGAGGCCTCTCACACAGTCCTCATCAACACCCTTTTCTCAAAGTTCCAGAGGTATAGACTCTATTGATAGATGGACTATTGGATGGATAAGGAATTGGCTGGATGGTAATGGTGAACAGCTCAATGCTCATATGGAGATGGGTGACAAGTGTTGTCCCTTGAGTCTGTACTGGGACCAGTGATGTTTCATATCTCCATCAGTGGCACAGACAATGGGACTGAGTGCACCCTCAGCAAGTTTGCAGGCAAAACCAAGCTGAGAGGTGCACCTGACACACCTGGAGGATGGGATGCCTGAGGGACCTGGACAAGATTAAGAAGTGGCCGCAGGGGAACCTCATGAATTCCTGCATGTGTGTCAGGACAGTCCCTGGTATCAATACAGACCGAGCTGAAGTGACTCAGAGCAGCTCTGCCAAGAAGAACTTGGGGATACTGGTGGATGAAAAACTGACTGTGAGCTGCAAATGTGCACTCACAGCCCAAAAACCACTGTCCTGGGCTGCATCCAAAGCACTGAGGGCAGCAGGGGAGGGAGAGGATTCTGCCCCTCTGCTCTGTTCTGGTGAGACCCACCTGGAGCACTGTATCAGCTCTGTGGCACTCAGCACAGGAAAGACACGGACCTGTTGGAGCAAGTTCAGAGTAGGGCCACAAAAATTATGAGAAGGATGGAACACCTCTTGTATGAGAAAAGGCTGAGAGAGAGATTGGGTTATTTAGTCTGGAGAAGGCTCCAAGAAGACCTAATTGGGGCCTTGCAATACCAGAAAGGGGCTGAAAAGAAAGATGGCAGCACCTTTTTACAGTGCTTGCAGAAACAGGACAAAGCATAATGGTTTTAAACTATAAGAAAGTAGATTCAGACTAGATACAAGGCAGAAATTTTTTACCTGTCCACCATTCTCACCAGCATCTTGGCTTCGTTATCTCTGACCTCAGAGACAAGTACAACATAAACAATACCCATACTAAAGCAGACTTGTTAAACACAAGTTAACACATCAAGAAATTTAGTCACTACATTAGCACCATTAGCAAAAATAATACTTAAGACATAATTTTTGATTTCTCATAGATTTAGATTTCATAGACCTCTGTATTGTCCCAACACAAATAACTTTTAATATATGCATGAAATACTATTTCTGTAGTGAATAACAAGTGGCCAACAGCTTTGAAGTAACTTTTTTGAGCTGTGACCTGAAATGTTTTAGCCACGCAAAGGTAAATCACTATTCAAAAGCAACTTCCGATATATAATGTGGGCAATGCATGGCTTAACACAACCTCCAGTTTAAAAAAGCCTTTTTTGTGCTACTACATAAAGGAAGAAAATCTTCAAAGTCCTTCCTAAGAGTCAGAATAGATATACATAAGAGATTTTTAAACGCTTTTGCAGAGAATTTAAAATACATTTATTAGCAGATCTACATGCTTTTTTAGCACCTCTCGTACAGTGTTTGTGAACTTTAAAAGCTTTCCATTTTTTTGAAGGCACAACCTTTCTAGTTTTAAGCTACTCATTTCATATTAATGTCAACAAAATTAAGCAGATCAAAATATTTTCATATCAAAAAATGAAAACTGACCTAAAGAAAGCTAGACATAAAGCATGTTGTAATTACTAATAATGTTTTCCACCCTTAGAGGTGAAAAAATCACACATAACCTTTTCTCACTACGGCAAGGGCTCAAAATGGTGCCTGGCCTCTGCAACCACGCAAAGTGATTGAATTTCATTTTTATTTAAGCACAGAACTTCTGTTTGAGAGACACTGTCAGATACATCACCAAAGACTGTATTTCAGCTTATTAATGCTTCTGCTAGTTTCAGCAACCAAACATGTCAGGCTGCAAGTGGGCATTATCTAGAAAACTTGGTGCTCTGACAGGATGCAATTGAGTAGAATAGCAATTATTTTGGTATCACTGCAAGTCCAGTGGTTATCTTTGTTGGTTTTGCCCAGTCATTCTGTCCCATAGAGGACACCATCCCTAAAGATTTGCAAAGCAAGGCTGCAATGATGCAGCCACTTGGGGGAACTAATTGTTCAGAAAATAGTTGCAGGGAGGTGATGGAAGCATTGTTCATAAACTAGTAATTCGTAATCCCCCAACAGCATTGCAAACATAAATTAGGTACTTTAGAAAGTGGGGATAAACATTAACTGGATTTTTAAAAATTCCTGGGACAATTGCCAGGTTTAATGTGAGCTTCAGGAAAGATACAGACCTGAACAGTAACTCATCCACTGTAAAGTCAATGTAAAATCATTTTTAAAGAGTCTATCAAGATCAAATCAACATGGACAAAATTTCAATATGCCTAATGTAAATGGTAATTAATGGACTTCTTTTCTCTTAAGTACAGGAAATAGTAATGACCAAGTCTTTTAAAAAAAATGAAGGCAGAATTCTTCAAGAACTATGAAGCACAAAAAGGTCAAGTAGAACCATTTTATGAATAAACCATAAAATAGTTTCTGATTAGATTTTTGTTCTCCTTTCAAAAAAGAGATCATATCTACCTCTCACTGAGAGTTCAACCCTCTCTGGGACAGAAAACATGCATGTCTCACTTCAGTATAGGAATCAGGCCTCTTGCTCACAAAATTTAATTTTTTTGCAAATACTGGTGTGCAAATAGAGAACACAACAAAAAAGCAAGTTATATTCATGCTAAAGAGTAGTTGGTTTTTTTTTGTGAGAATCATCACACTTTTATCCTAAAGAAAGAGTGTATGCAGGAGAAAAGAATTAATTTGCCAATTTGGCTTAATATACCTGTATTTTACTCGAGCCATTAAAAACATCTGCATGGTGGCTTCTGTAGTACAAACCTCAAAAATGTTCCCTCATGAACAGAGGATCAGAAGACTGTCAGTCTTGGTTTGGCCTATTTTGACTTCCATTATAAACTATACACAA